ATGCGGGAAGTCGATGGATGCAGGTGGCTTCGTGGAGTTATTTGGGGGCGGCTATGTTCAGCAGTTGACTCAAACCGGCTGAACAAAGATGATGATAGGTTTTTTTCCACAAACCGCCACGAAGCACGGTCATCATAATCCAACTAGCGATCCACATCGGCTTTGCACGGGTGCAATGCTGATAGTAAATATACTGTTCTATGTTTCTCTACTATATTGTGCATGTATTATACACATAAACCTTTCTCCGGGATCACTCTATCTAGTTAAAAAAATCGCATCAAGATCCGTTGCACAGTTTTAAAGATTTAAGCATACATATGGACTGACAGACAGCGGAATTACTTTGTTTTATACTATGCATTATTTAAAGATATAAACGCTAATGGTTTTCACGTTCACCACTTCTTCTATAAAATGTTTAATGAATCACGGCGGTTATCGTGAACATGAAAAACCTTTGCAATTGCTAGATAAGAATTCATGTTAATTAATCAATGGAGATACTAGATAATTGAGAATAATATTCAATTGAGGTACACTAATAAGAGCAAGAGATATTTCAATAAACAATGAAAAAATAACTTCGTTCATTGTAGCTTGTCTAGAAAAAAATGTGGATAAAATAGCATTAATTTCGTCTTTAACTTTGTCGGAATTTTCTTGAGTGATTTAAGCTATAATACGATGTTTAAATTGCTTTCGTTGTAAACGAATATACATGCCTCAAAAAGAATTTTCAATTTTAAGTTAACGAACACTTATTATTTCACGTAAAGTTATGGCTCAAACAAAGGCACCCCAATGAAAGGAATGAAAATATAATTCTTGACAAAGCTGTAAAAAATATATTTTCATTTTACGCAATTGACTGGCATCCACTTTGGATTAACATGCGAGTCGTCGTGGTCCTTTATCGCTTATGACACCGTTTGTTTTCTGTTCGTTTCGCCAAATATGAATTTTACGAGTCACTCGTTCGAGTTCGGTTCTATTCGTGAACTCTGCAACCGATTCACCGACGTCTACTAGCGTTTTCATTGTTGAGTGTCACGTGACGTCACGTACGAATATGTCGCTAATGCACTGTCTAAAAATTTCCAGTAGTAAATTCGAAGCGCAGTAGATTCTTTTCAGACGATTGGTTGGTTAAGTCTAAGGGACATTCCGATTGTTATTTCAACACTTTATCCTTTTATATTTCTATGATAAAAATAAATGCGTTATTCAATTAAACATTCTTTGATTTAAAAATAAAAGACGTGGTATACTCAGTAATTTTTTTTCTGCTAATTTATTTATTTATTTATTTTAACTTCATTGTTACATCTAAGGCTCAAGGCTACAATGCCTAATGGCATTCTCTACCAGTTTCTACCTTTACTAATAAGGTGAAATTTTAATAATAATATAATATAATGAGTGTAATAGATAAATTAGAGTCAAAAAATTTTCGGCGCTGTGATCTACATCTTCTTGGTATCGCGCCCAAAAGAAGAAAACTTCTGAACTTGAAAGTTTTACGCATTCACCCTATTCCACGCGGAAGGAGTCACGGGCAACAACTAGTGACTTAATAAGATTAAATGAAAACTACACGGAAAATCGTTTATTATATACCCAAAAATACCACAGGAAGTGTAAATCACGATACAGCTTAAATAAATTTTTATATAAAGATTCAGCCTGTACCTATCGATAAATAGAAGCTGCTTACGAATTGCAATATTTTATATAAAACTGAAATCATAAATTTATTTTATTAATTATATAAAGTTGTTTTGCTTATTAAAGTTTTTCGGCTCTATGAGACAAATTCAGTCAAATTTGTTCTAGAATTCCTGTAAATCGAGGTTTAAAAATATGAAACCATAAATTTTAATGCCGCTAAAGAACAGAGTCTGTTAACGTATGTACGGAAATATTCAAAAGGTCTTCTCATGCTCGCATCCACCATTCTCTTTGTGGAATTGGAACACAAAGTAGAAAAGGCAAATTTTAATATTAAAATCATAATATTACCATAAAATATGCGATATTCACAGAGTGATGACATATTTATACGAAAAGGTCTTCATTTTTTAATCAAACATAATCATATCAATGTTTTAAATGCAGATAGTTTGTTTGTTTCTTACCATCTTTTCGTGCCTATACCACTGAGGTAGAATCTCGATAGATATCTCGATAGATCGAACCGAAACTGAAATATTCGCGTAAAAAATTTGACGTTAAAGAATAATAACACTAGCCCATAAGTGGCAATATGTATTAGCCGTGGAAATCTTTAAAAACAAAATAATTTATACAACAGCTTGCGATTGAAGCAATAAGGCAATAATTCCCACAATCACCACTCCACGCGTACGTACAGGACGCGTGTAAGTTACAGTTGCGCCGAGTCTACCGCAAATCCATTCATCACACTTAAAATGTATTAACATCGGCTAACAAATCCCATTACGGCCGGGGCAGATGCGCAATTCCGACGTCGTATTAACGCGATCCCGTCAAATTTGATGTATGTACGCGTGACGTCGACAATACAGTTTCGCCGAGTCCATTGTCGGGCGTCGCCCACGCGTTTGTAATAAGTTTTAATACCTTAATGCTTTCTGGTAAGTGAAAGACACGTTTCGCAAATAAAGGCTCTCTAGCGGGGCAACCAACTATACATACGTACGTGCTCGGTTCGAACTAAGTTCGCTTTTGGTTGTCCGAGTGGAAAATACGTTGCGATTTCAACTAATTCGGAGCAGTGGACTCACGACTCATACTAACTTTCAATTTGTTATTAATTTAAGGAAAGTTCGAAATCAACTGTTATAAATAAATGAGATTATTTACTTTTAAGCGATGATTTATTTGCTCGGTTTTGATGTTTCAAAGATTATCCTTTTTTATATAATGGTAAAAAAAAAATAAACAAAATGATATAATATCTTTTAGATGTTAGTACAGATAATCTAGGAGTCACTTCGTTTCGTTCGTATTTGTATTTTCGGTAATGAAAACCAGATTTACGGTATTCGGTGGCTTCGATATCCAACCGTTATAATTTTACGTTCGGATTATGCCTCGGATCGTAAAGTTTTTATGATTCTATAAATACTCCACGCAAGCGAAGCTTTTCCTTATATAAATAAGTAGCAAGGGATAAAGTAATTTCTCCTAAACATTACTTAAACTCGTACTCGCCTTAGAAACTCGATATTTTAGGGAAAGTGGGATCTATACAATTAAGATATACTTCGGATCTAGAAATCGAAAATTTATTCATTGCTAAATAAAGACACAAACAGAGTCGAAAACTCGGCTAGCAAATACTGTAAGGATTACTTGCGCTGTTTTTAATATTTATCTTTTAAGTTTTCAAGGAGTAAAGTTATTGACAAGTTACTTTCACCAATCTCTGTCTTAAATGACACATGGCAATCGAGAGAGCGATTAGTATTGACATATGATATAGCCGGTGTCACTGCAATACGCGAATAAGAAAGAGTTTTATGCAATAATTTGCCTTTAATTGGAGAAATATCTTCGATCTAATAGATTGTTTTAAGTTATCACACCACTTAAGTCACAGGTCAATTATCGCGTAGGGCTTATCTCGTCGTATTTATCAAACATTCCTAGGACTGCAAGGCTATATGGTGGCTGTTTAATGAAAAGCAAGCTTACGATGGAAACATTACAATCGGATTTTGCTTGTCCAATACGTTTGCGTAAAGAATAGCCTGACCGAAATACATTATCTCCTTAGTTCAGTCTCGTTCGACGCAAGACTTTATAACTTCGTTCAACAGATTTATTGCATTGAAATTGTATAGAATTTTCTTGTGCGTGCGCTCTACACTATACGAAACAACTGTTATTATCGAAGTTATTTCCTGGTTTATTTTTGAAAATTGATTATGAACTTTATTTCCAATTGTTTCACTTAATGCACTTAAGTCCTGTTAGGTAAATAGGGTTGATAATAGTTTTTTCTTAGTTGACAGTATTATAATCGAATTACATCTTCAGTCAGTATTTGTTAAAAAAGACCATTTGAGTCAAATTCTGTAAGCAATTGTAACTCATTTTAATACTACGTTTAAATAAATCAGCGAGACAGATGATAAGAGGATATTTTTCCCAAACCATTCAAATGTCAAGGAGCGTGAGGAATGATCGCGAAACGTGACTAAGATTGGCTTTTCCTTATTTTAGCAAATGATTTTTTTCGTTTACATTGAAATTCAAATTATAAAATGAACGGAATCGACGTGTTGATATGCAATTTTATTTATTTGGAAATTTTTGTACTGAAACACGTATTTTTGAATAGAAAACGGCAATATTATCCCCGTTTGATTGGGATTATTTTCAACCGCCTTAAAAATGGAAGAGGTGGACAAGGCAGATGTATTTATTATATTTTGTACCTCACAATTCCGTCATTTATAAACCAATTTTAAAATTGGTTATACTTCTGCGTTTCGTTATCAAATGCGTAGGCACCTTACAGTATTTAATGTATTTATTAACTTTTATATTTGAATTGATAATTTGAATTGATAAAGGACTTTCGTCTCAGGATATTTATCAGGGAACTCCTCGAAATGGAAAATGTAAACATGTATAGTGACTGATATCAAATATCAGTTGATTTTGTTTTTGTTCAACAATAATTTACTTGTCTAACTTTCACTATCGCAGGTACAAAATAAGTTAAACTCTTCCGGCCATTATCATGTATACCCAAAATTGTTTCTACCATTTCTCATAAATTTTCCTAATTAAATTATGTTTTCCTTACATTAGCGTTGCTAACTTGTTGATTCCCAACAAATAGTAAAGCGAGCACTTAAAACTTAAAATAGCGATAAAACTGCGCCGTAATAAATCTCATTTATCGGCTGCATCTAATTCAAAGGCAACTTTCCTCGCGACTGTCAATTTGAATCTGACTCCACGGTCTGCAAATCACTGCTCTTTATTAGATTAAAGGAAATTTATCGTATCTCCGAATGCGAGACGACAGTTCGTATTTCCACGGCCGTCTGTTCAAAGTAAACACCTTTCTTGTCGCCCCCTGTCAGATGGATTCAATTTCATTTGAAAAATACTCAGTTTTTTCACTCAAACGTAATAGAGTACCTACGTTTTATTAAACCTTCAACTTCGTGTTTTAATTCCGTATTTTGAGTCCTTTTTCTTAGAGATTTACGGACTTCAACTCATCCTGGACGCTCAAGTTAATATTTATTGTTAAACAGCATCGTTGTTATTTTGTATCTTTGTAAATACTGTTCCTATTTTAACTTTGACATGATAAGCTTCCGTGATTTTAATCTAAATCTTTTTGTGGAACTTAGGTTCTGACCGTGGTGAGGAGTGGACTTCCCGATCAATATTTTACTTGGAGCAATTGTTCAAGAAGGATGGTCTGATTAATTTATGTAAAATAATATTTTTGGTTTTAATTATTAACCATTATTATAAAATTATCTATCTACCATATTATATAAGTTTTGTAATGGTAAGTATGTTGTAGTTTTTGACGTTTAATGAGAACCAAGAACAAGCCTATATTGAATAAAGAAATTTTGACTTTCACATTATAAACAGACCTATCCGCATATATATGTCCGCATTTACTAATCGTTCACTTAATATACTTTCCAGATTTATACAGATTAAATAAGTGCTTTTCCTGACATTAAAAATAACTAATTAAATAAATTTATGTTTTGGTTTATTAATTTGAATTTTAATAAGGAAAAAGCAAGGCGTTAAATGTATTCCGGCAAGTCGTACGCATTCGCATTACGACTCATTTCTTTAGTACTTGATATAAATTCAGCGATAAAATATTTTACGATATCGCGCAAACGGATGTGACCTTAGCGAAAATACGCGTCGAAAATTTATCGACGTACCAATTGAATTTATTGTCAAAACTAAAAGTTTTATAGTCAAGATTTACATGTTCGTCTGAAACACGGTTTAACGACACAGTTTAACAGCTTTGTTCTTTTTTTTCTTTAATTAGTCACTTCTTTTACTAATTCCTAATTATATTACTCTCGTTTTCATTCTCATTTCGGTATATCATATTCATCGCATCTAAATGCGACAAAACAATTCTAAAATTGTAATATATATTTTTCTTAAATTAAATAAGTAGAAAAGAATGTATAGTAATTTAATTGCTGTTTTTTGAAGAACGTTCATGGATTTCAATAAAGGATACGTTTTCAGGTTAATAAAGAGCTTGACAAAACTAAAATTAAATTAAAGTAATTAACACTTTTAACGATTGTCTGTTTTTGAGTTTTATTAATTAATACCATGTTCGTTTTCATTATTGTGAAGTATTGAAAAAAAATCTAGAAATTCATTTTTATTATACCTAGCAAGCAAATATATTTTTGTCACATATTTTACTTGAATTTGAACACACCGTCTTTGACTATCGGTTTGGGCGGTTTTCGCTTGGGAAGAATAATCGGAGAAGTAGTTATCAGGTTTTTAAAAAAACAATTCAATGTTTCAAAAGGGATGATTCATCCGGAAGGAGTAGGTCGAATACTGACAGTGGTGACAAAACTTCACAATAGTTTTGTAGGAGTGGATGTATAATACAACCATAGGCCTGAGGTATTGGGTGACAGGTGTTGTTATTAACTTCACACTTAGCACTCTTAATCTTTTATTGATACTCAGTATTACACTAATATTAAATCAACTTAAACTCTTATATCTCAGAATATAACTTAGGTACACTATCTCAGAATATAACTTAGGTACACTTCTAGAACGATCCGCTCGCTACGCTTGCTAGCGATCGACTGACAGTCCGACTGAATGAGCTCTCTCGTACCTACCGCCGCCGGAAACGCGGCTAGGTTCAGATGCTTGCAGCGCCACCGCCGGAAACGCGGCAAGGCTCAGGCGATTGCAGCGCCACACATGTATCGACAAAGCCTATTTCTTACACTCCCTCCCTTTGTCGAATACATAAATTAATAATTTAATTATTACGTAGATAATATGAAAGTAAATAAATTATAGTTAAATATGAATTATACAAAATAATTATGTATTATGCTCGAAGTTTTTGATCTCTATTCTTGTACGAATTTACGTAGTGATCATTGACCTGTGAACACACAAAAACAATTAAATATCATGTAAATTTCAATATGTAAATATGTACTGTTGTACTTTTAAATGTTTTCTCTGAATGTGCATTTTAAATTTTTGTATTGGTAATTTTATCTCTTAAAATCTCATGCCTACCCTGAGGTAAGGGCTTTGTCATTATGTCTCCTAAGTTTTCATCAGTAGACACCCAGAGAACTTTAATTTTCTTTTCCTCTACGCACTGTTTCACAAAATCTCCATGAGTGACTGCCATGTTTTTTCTGTTTCCAGTTTTCTCTCTGAAGGCTAGGTTATTTTTAATTTCTTTTACACTCTGATCAAATGTTTTAAGTTTATGGCTTCCATCTTTCTCTGTACAGTCTCTAGCTGATTTATTATCACACCATAAAGTTATAGGATAGAACGTGCGTCCAATTATATACCGTATGGATTTATCCAGCGATATTAGTTCTTGGCACGCATCACTCATTGCTAAGTACTCTGCTTGGCAGGTTGAAGTCGTGACGTTGGATTGTTTGCGACTTCTCCAAGCTATTACATCTCCAAATAATTTAATAACATAATCTCCTGTAGATTTTGAATCCTCGCAGTCTCTGAAGCTTGCATCTGACATAGCTTCTAAATTCTCTGAATTTGATAGGAATGTAATTCCTAAATCAGTCGTACCTCTCAGGTACCTGAATACTCTCATCACTTCTACCCAGTCATTTTCAGTCGGGTTTATTTGCTTTCTCGCCAGGTAGTTTACTGCGTAGGCTATATCTGGTAGAGTCGCATTTGCCAGATACTTTAAGCTACCTATCGCCTCTCTAAATGGTACTCTTTTAACTTCATTCGATATCTCTGAATTTTCTGAGGTTGATTTGAGCTTTTTATTCCTATGGTCTACCTGACGGGTAACCATAGGCGTACTTTGTGGCTTTGACTCCTGCATATTAAATCTCTCTAAGATTTTCTCTGTATATGCAGCTTGATGTAAAATAATACTTCTCTCTTTTCTATCTCTCTGTATTGTGATGCCTAAGAAATTGTTGGGTTCACCTAAGTCTTTCATCTGAAATACACTACTGAAGTGTGTTTTTATTTGGTTCAATTTCTCTGGATTATTGCTGGATATCAACATATCATCTACATATAATAGCACTATAGCGAGTTTCCCATTTAACCTCCAAGTGAATAGACAAGGATCGTGTAGATCGTTTTCTAATTCAAGTTTTTGTGCTTCCTCTGAAAATTTCTTATACCAGCGCTTAGGGTTTGTTCTAAGACCATATAGAGACTTTATCAATTTGCAAACTTTGTCATCTTGATGTTCTCTGAAGTCTCTAGACCTTCTGGAATTTCCATGAATACTTCTTCTTCAAGCTCTCCATTGAGGAACGCTGTTTTAACATCCATTTGACACACTTCTAAGTCCTCTTTATTGATTATGGAAAGAACTGATCGAATCAAGGACAACCTTGACACCGGAGCATATGTTACTTTAAGTCCATAAACATTTTTGTCTTTAAAACCTCTTGTAACTAGTCGTGCTTTATATTTAGTTGAACCATCGCTCTCAACTTTCCTTTTAAAAACCCATTTGGAGTCTATAACATTAGGCTTCTTCCCCTGAGGTTCTTTAGGTCGATCTACTAAGACCCATACTCTATTCTCTTTCATAGAGTTTAGCTCTTCTCTAATAGCTTGTTTCCATAACTCTTTGTTCACTGAATTCATGGCTTCTTTAAAAGTAGTTGGGTCTTCTTGAATTGAAGCTATTAATATATGACCCAATTCATCCTCGTTTATCTCATTAACCTCTGAAACTCTGGTATAGCGAACAAAGCTTATATCTTCTATTTTCTTAGCTTTACTCCTTGTTACTGGACCTACAGTATTGTTAATTGGTAATTCTAAATTTTTCTTTTTGCTTCGTTTCTCTGAAATTTTCTCTGAATTTGTTTTCTTTGGCCTACCTCTCTTTTTAGGCTCAGCTACGTTCACCTCTGAAAGGTCTGTTTCCATTGTTTCATCACCTACAGTAGAATTAGTTGACTTGTCCGATTTACTTTCTTCCGCTAATTCTTTATTCGAGCCTTTTAAATAAATATCTTTATACACTAATCTTTCTACAAACCTTACGTGTCTCGATTCTATAAACTTTCTCGTGCTAGGATGCCATAGAATGTATCCAGTGGATGTATACCCCGCTAGTACAGTTTTAATGGATACGTTGCTGAACTTTGTTTCAACAAAAGGTAATTTAGCATAAGCAATGCATCCAAATCTTCTGATTTGCTCAAAGTGACAATTTGTTCTTGGTGAAAATTTAACTAAAGGTACTTCATAATCAATCGTCTTATGTGGAGTTCTGTTATAAGTGTGAACAGCTGTTTCGGCAGCTAAGACCCACATACTTAGTGGTAAGCCTGAATCACACATATACGTTCGTATTGTTCTCTGAATTGACTTATTAAATCTTTCTGCTGTACCGTTTAGCTCAGGGGTGTACGGTGGGCCACTATCTGACTCTATCTTTTCTCTTTTCATAATCTCTGCAAACTTTCCACCTGTAAACTCAGTACCTCTATCTGATCTAACATAGCAAACTTTTGCGTCTGTACCTAATAGGTTACGAGCCGAACACAAAAAGTTTTCAAAAGCTTGACCAGATTCATCTTTAGATTTAAGGCAGTATACATTAGCATATCTAGAATAGTCATCTATGAACACAATTATATACCTCTTTTGACCAGGCCATGAACTAGGTTTTATTGGTCCCATCACATCTGAATGAATTATTTGAAGTGGCCTGTCAGCTCTCCTTCTGTTTTGTTTAAATGGAAGTTTTTCCATTTTTGACAATATACATACTTCACACTCCTTAATTGAATCATCAAATCTCACATGTTCTAATATCTTCTCTTTCTTTTGTATCATTTTCAGATAATTTAGAGAAGCATGCCCTAACCTCTGATGCCATAGCATAGCTTCACTCTGAATGTTCTTTGGAAATAGATTTTCCGACTACATTTTCATTTAGTATGTTTTGTATACTCTCTACATTCTTTAAATCATCTATATTAACTGTTCTGTAAGATAACAAGTTATCATTACACTCTGAATTTAATTTCTCTGAATTTGTATCTTTATTCTCGAAGACAATGGGGTTTTCCAAACTCTCCCTCCCAATCGCAGACCCAATGTTTACATTAGAATCAGTAAACTCTGAATTTTCTCCCTCCGATCTGGACGTCTCTAAGTCCTCATTGGTCTGCGATTGCTCGGAAACCTCATTGTCAGTTGCTAAGCACGCAGAGCAACTGTAATTTTCGTATTCATTCATAGTATCATTGTCACCACATTTTGGTTTTATAACTATTAATCTAACTACCCAATTTGGTTTTTCATAAATTCCTTCAAATATCGTCTTGTTATTTTCTCTATTATAAACTCTGAATATTTTGTCATCTAAATGTATACAAAAACCTGCATCTACTAATTTACGTAATGACAACAAGTTCTCTGAAATATCTTTAGCTGCTATAACATTTCTTAACTTAATGTGATTATTATTTATTTTATCTTCTTTCAGCAAAAGATTACCTCTACCATCTATAGCAATATCAGCAAATTTATTTTTATTGGCACTTTTAATAATACCTTTCTCTGATTTTTTTTTAAAATTACTTAAAATAAAACTTTTATTAACAATGTGACTTGTGGCACCTGAGTCAGCAATGAACTCTAAATGTTTCATTACTTAGATTTTTATTACAAAGTATCTTACCTCCTGATTCATTATAACCATCATATTGCCCGTCACCTTCCTCAAAGTTCTCTTGATCAGTTAATCCATCATCAAGATCAGCCCTCCTAGCAGTTGGATTATTTTTGGAACCTCTATTAGTTCCTCTAGCTCTAAAGTTAGCTCTGGAATTACCTCTGAAGTTGGTATATCTGCCTCTAGGATTACCTGAACCTCTACCTCTTGCTCTTTGAGTTTGAGGTAGTTTGTTTCTTTTAACAGGGGTTCCATACTCATCAGTACTATTGAAAGGTCTCTTGTATCTCTGAGTTGAGTACGTATTAGCGTTGCAGTCATCACCTTTGTGGTCTGTGATATAATTACAAACATAACAGAACCATTTGTTTGCGTGTCTTAATGAACAGTCTTTTTGCCAGTGACCTTCTCTGTTACATCTATAACATTTGTTTCGGTTACTCTTAAACTTTTGCACCGTTACTCTTGAGGCTGTGGCATCTTTCCCATCTGAAGACCCTTTAGCTGCGTCATTATCCTCTTGTATAAGAAACATCGCACTTCTTAAAGCCTTCATGTTCATTTCTTTTCCAGTGGTTGATATTACAGCCGAATCTGTACGTCTTACTTCTGGCATAGCTCCAATAATCGCTTGATAGAAAGTCGAGCGCTTTTCGTGTTCAGTAAGCTTCACAGGATCGTCACTTAAGTCATGTTCCCTAATTATCTGATCGAATCTTTCACAAAATTTATGGACTCTCTCATCTCTTAACATTCGCAAATTGTATAGTCGTGTTCTGATGGACGTTGGGGTTGAGCTTATTTAGCCCTTTCTGCTGTCTCTTAATCTCTTTAAAATTTCCATCGGTTCAGTCATACCTAAAATCTTCTTGTGGTAATCTTCATCAATATGGCTGATGATGATGTCTTTCACAGAGTTTTTCCTGAGCATAATTTCAGACTCTGGAAGTCCGATCAACACCGATTGATTTTGGTCTATCATATCTAGCAAACTCCAATTTGTAAGTTCTGTCTTTAGGCAGTCTAACCATACCTCGAAACTGGATTTCGATGTAAGTCTATATTGCCTCTGAATTCTTGGTCTGTTGCTAGTTTGATTACTACAACCTCCTCCATCTTGAGTTGGTGCAGTAACTCTTTGTTCGCACTCTTTCATACTCTTTAGTTTATTTTTCTCCGATTCTAGCATGTGCTTCTGAATTTTGCACATACTATCAACTACCTGTTTAAGTAAACTTACATTTGTAGTTTGTGCGTCTCCTGTGTTAAGTGTGGCTGCCAGATTATTCATAGTCGAAATCGCGGTTTGTAACTCGTCTATACCAGTTTGAGAACTGGATGTGCTCTGATTTGTATAGCTGCACCCCGGGTTTTGATTCATCGTCTCACTCATTGTCCCGTTCGCACTCTCTGAAACTCTTACACCTGTGGTTGTTGCTGTGAAATAAACCTCTTATTTATTTATTACCTGGGTTCAACCTCTAAAAAAAATTTCAGATCTGATCTCTAACCATCTTTCAGCAAAGATTCTAATCTCAACGAGATTCAAACTTTTGCCTTCTCAAAAAAAATCACAGCACTCTGAAATTTTAGTCAAATATAGATGGCTCATAAAAAAAAACTCTTACTCTCTTTAATGAGACCAGAACTAGAAGCCTCCTCTCCAAGTCTGTTTCTCATATACTCTGAATACTCTTCGCTCATTTCTTCTGGGGTTTGACTCTGAACGACTTTACGAACCATCTGTTCCAGGATTACGAAACATCATCAGTTAGTTTTATTTGATTTAAATATTATTATATTTATCAATAGTTTATTTTTATGTACTCTCATACACGCACTCTTAAAATCTTAACTTTTTAATCTTTCTCATTTTAACCTCTTAATATACCTTTCGGTACCAGGTAATCTCTGAATTTTAACTAACTGAATAATGCTTCTTGCTTCTGAACCAAAAGAACCGAACCACAAGTTAATTTTGCTCGAAGCGAGAAATCAGATTCCCCCACTGGGTATTCCACATATGCACACCACTCGCCGATGTTCAACTCTGTGTGTTACCACGAAAGTTGGTCGGTTTTGGGCTGCGCACGCACACACGTGGGTCCCAGGTGAGGTCCTACTAATCTCCCTAGTCAATGAACAGCCTACACCGAACACAAGTTTCAGCTGTAGATTGACCCCAGAATTTATAGAATTTGCTTGTTTAATTTATTTAATTTTAATTTACTTAATTCATCTTCTTGACTTATGTAGTGAACTGAAGTCCACAGAAGCCAGTAATCCGGTATCTGACCGCAAGGCAAGCCAGAACGGGACACCAAACTTAAGTAGACAATTCTAATACACATAAAATAATTATCAAGCTAAAATCTAAATTTGACTAGATTTGTCTCTCCATCTTTTATCATCTTACAACCTCTGAATAGTTTTATTCACTTCCTTCAAACTAAAAAAAAATGTTTAATAACACTCTCTGAATAATTTTAATTACATTAAAAATGAATTAGTCTGTACATAATAGTTCTAATTCAAAAATTTAATTTTGAATTTTAATTGACTTAAAAAAATATTAATCTGAATAATTTTGATGAACTTAAAAAATTAGTCTCTGAATAATTATAATTAACTTAAAAAGTTAATTAGTATCTGAATAAATGTAATAGTTTCAGATTTAATTAAATTCTCTTATTCTTTCCTTAATACCTTCTGAATAAAATTTTATTTTTTGTTCATTTTAAACTGCTTAATAATAAGATGAGAGAAAAATAAAACTTCTTACACAACCACAACTCAATACACTATGTAATATAGCCCCTTTGTAATCTATACGTCTTAATTGTAACATTATCGTTACATTTTTACTGCATTTGTTAATATAAACGTAGTTTAAGCACACTTACCACAGACAAACCTTACTCTTTGTTACGATCGATGTTCAAAAAGGCGTCCTCTCTGAATTTCTCTAAAACTCTTTTCTTGATACCCTCTTCTTCTTAATATGATTTTCAATATTGAATCACAGCACTTTTAAGTTAATAACTCAGCCTTATCACCCAAATATTCGTGGATCGGAACCACGCTCTACTACCATGTAGGAGTGGATGTATAATACAACCATAGGCCTGAGGTATTGGGTGACAGGTGTTGTTATTAACTTCACACTTAGCACTCTTAATCTTTTATTGATACTCAGTATTACACTAATATTAAATCAACTTAAACTCTTATATTTCAGAATATAACTTAGGTACACTATCTCAGAATATAACTTAGGTACACTTCTAGAACGATCCGCTCGCTACGCTTGCTAGCGATCGACTGACTGAGCTCTCTCGTACCTACCGCCGCCGGAAACGCGGCAAGGTTCAGATGCTTGCAGCGCCACCGCCGGAAACGCGGCAAGGCTCAGGCGATTGCAGCGCCACACATGTATCGACAAAGCCTATTTCTTACAAGTTTTATCTACATATTTTTATATTTCACTTTATGTGTAGAGACTAGCACTAAAAATTAAAAGATAAATATGCCTTATCGACTGGATATTTTTTAAGATAGATTATAAGTGGGCGTTCCATACGACCGGAGCCACGGGCACAGCTAAAGGTGAAATCAAAACAAAACCGTGGCATTAACACAATTACTATAATAGTTAGGCATGCGAGAGTTGATTAGGCCACGTTTGTACATCCAACTGGCCATAGTCCGATGAATCCGGGCTTTATTGAATTAAGTGGTCGGCGTGTGAGGCTGCGACAACACGTGCGCTGAATGCTTCATGCGATACAGTGTTGACTCAGACAAAAGAATTCCCGATAGCCGCTTCCCTCGTTAGCTTGGCTATGCGGTTTCTGGTAAATTCTCTGAATTCTCGCCCCATGCTTTTGTTTATTTGTTTACTCGCAACATCACACATCGCAACACTTCTTACTGAATCATTAGACACGGACAAACTAGTGAAATATCGTGCTATTTTATAAAATTTAAGCATCAGTAAACAGTAAATTGAACTCGCCTGCACTGCTTTGACAGTAATGGGATCTGCTGTTGCACGAATGGGCAGGCTTGTTCAGGGGCGGACATGTAGGTATGGTAGCCACATAATGAATAGTTGGCAACGCATCGGCAGCCCTACGGGTGTTGCAAATGTCCATGGGTGGAGGATGTCATTTAGCATTAGGTGAACCATCAGCTCCGTTGCCACCTTCTAACACAAAAATAATCCCGGATGCAGGAATGAACTATTTTGTACTTTATGTATATATGTATACTGTTGAATACGTAAAGATGTTGAGGGCTTAGAGGCTCGCACTAAGTGGCAGTTTTGAATCTTAGTTCATAGAATTCATTGGAACTAAAGAAGTTTGGTGAAACTTCAATAACATTGTTATTTATTAGGTTAAAGTAGGTCTCATCAATACATAAATGTAGTAGGTAACAAGCACCAACTCATTCATTGATTAGGACAAATGACATCGAAATTTGAAACAGTGTTCATTGTTGTGTATGGAGGAGCGATGACAAAGAGTTATTCGAAATTTTCGAGGATCCACTGGCACAATTATGAATTGTAACGAACACTCCCGATATTTTGTGGTATCATTTTTAGGGTTCCGTACGAAAAGTTTAAAACGGGACCCTATTACTAAGTTCCGTCTGTCACAAGGCTGTATTTCATGAACCATGGTAGTAAGACAGTTGAAACTTTCACAGATGATGTATTTCTGTCACTGCTATAACAACAAAAACTAAAAAAAATATTTATAATATTTAGGTAGGGCTCCCATAAAACAGACATGATTTTTTCCGTTTTTATAGATATTGGCACGGAACCCTTGGCGCGACTTGGCTGATTTTTTAATTTCATGGTTTTGTTCACTACACGACTTTTTATTGCTTGAACATATTTAGAGAGGATCTGATTGCCTCAGTGAGATTTGAATTGTTCCAACACATTCAAAAGGTTTTCACCGGATTACTACTTATATCTATAGTGAAAATGGATGTAGGCCTCAGAAGATTAAAATATTTGATTAAAATATTTTTTTCTTAATGCTAATATACAGAGGCTATATTATACATAAACAAAATTTGATCTGTACACAAAAATTGATAATAAATTAAACTGATCAATTTCAGCAAATATCTCCTTTTTTAAAAAGTTTCTACCGTGGTAGAGCAACAAAATGGGATTGCTGACCTCATATCATCAGCTTTTTCACATAGTTTGGTGGGTGAAGTATGGGTTGCCTAATGTTCCCAAGGGATTCGCTTCTTCATTTATCATCCGTACAGCCAAGGAATGGAATAACCTGCCGGCGTCCGTCTTTCCGTCCGATTACAACGTAGGCGCCTTCAAGGCAAGAGTGAATAGGTTTTTACTGAGCTAGCGCGCTTACCATCAACGGCTGCATCGCCACTTACCATCAGGTGGGATGGCAGTCAAGTGCAGGCCAGTTTTGAATTTTAAAAAAAAGTGAACACAGAAAGATTCGTTTAAACCGAATGTTAAACTGTTATTATGATTAAAACTGAGTACTCCACTGTGGTAATGAGCGCGATCGTTTGTACAGGGTGCGTAAACAAAGCAACAGTTTGCGGACTGTTGCGCTGAGCTTCAGTTCTCCACTCGTCGCTCGTGTCATCCTATGGACGTTGCATTATTAAAAGCTCTCGTAGTAGGAACTCAAACAACGCCCGTATTAGTTGTTGAGAGCGTTACCACTGCGTTTTATTTCAGAGTGTCGTTAGAGTTAACTATACAGTTTTGTTTTGTGGCCTGGGAGTTGTTAAAGCTGAAAGTCGTATTCCTTTTCCAATCAAACCCTGCCCAAGGTATGCTTTGGTGATTTTGCCTAATTCCAAAATCAAAGTCCATCCGCTTTTGTTTTATAACAGTGTTAGTGGAAACTATCAAGAGATGAGTAATTAGGCTGTTATTTTTAATAGTCAGGGCGTTTATTACAATAGCATATTATCAAAGGCCGTATCATTATATGACAGAAATGTTTATGGTATATATAGTGGTTATTAAAAAGAACGGCAACGAAATACCCTGACCGAACTTGACGTAAGTTGCGCCTCACGACATCTCATTGATTGATGAGTAAATAAAAAAAATCAAATCAGTTCAATCTTTTTAGCTGACAGATTATATCATTAAAAATATTTCTTTCGAGACATTATGGTAAGTTCTCACATTTCTGAGATGTAGAAAGTAGCCCATTGATATGAAAATACTTTTCATAAGCATTGAGTTAACAAAGTGTTGTTTCAGTTTTCGAAACTTCATTATAATACCTTCGCAACGCTTTGTTCTACCGACGTCGTTTAATTGACTTATTACATCACAATTGATAAATTTATTGTCCTTTCTTCGGTCTCGTCATTTATGTTATGAGGTATTTTATTCTTCATGAAACAGTTTTACACAAACTTTACGTCATTCCCACAACTAAGACGAATGTAATTAAATCTCATATAAAGCAATCGGTCAAGGTACAAGCTGTGCCAAAGAATTAAACACACACACACACACACACTCTTGAAAAACATTACTTCTTTCGGCAGTCAGCTTAAAATTCACACATTTTGAGGCAATTATTAGAACATGCTTTTTTATGCGTTTTTAAACGCTGCCTTTACTGTAGACAACATTATCCTGTGTTGTAAGGACGTTTTACAAACATAAATTTCACGTCGATCCGAGACAATTATCTGTTGGTCACCCAAATAGTCTTCTC